CGTGCGGCGGGAGGTCTGCGTGGCCGGCGCGGCTCGCAGGCGAGCGGGGCGGGGGCCACGGCCGCGGTACCTCGGTCACCTTGGGCCCAGTCGTTTCTTTTTTGCCTTGTGTCTGCTTTCTGGTGTATTGGCTTCAACGTTTTAAGGCTTTCTGCTGTGTCAGAGCTCTGGCTTTTTTTTGGTTTTTTTTTTTTTTCCTGCTAGAGAACATCTTCCAGCTGGGCTTAAAATAATAGTTGCCTGACTAACATCTCTGGTGAAGCCAATGGGCAGAATTTGTGGGGGGGAGTGGCAGCCTGTTACATATTACTGTTTGAGAATCGAGATGTGCAAGGTGTATTTTTTTCTTCTGTGTACTTAAAACCTAATTACTGAAAATACGTTTTTGTCTAGTTCTCCAGATGGCTTCTTTTGGGTGGAAGAGAAAGATTGGTGAGAAAGTTTCAAAAGCTACTTCTCAGCAATTTGAAGCAGAAGCTGCAGATGACAAGGATCTGGCTGATGATGATGCTGCTAACTGGGTGCATGCAACCAAGAGAAGAAAGAAAATTCTTGTCGAAGACTGTGTAAAGAAAAGTAAGGAGCTGAAGGATGAAGGTGCAAATTTGGCAGAAAAGAGGAGGTACTAATATTATCTTACTCTTTTTCATTGACTGAATAAGTGCTAAATGATATTTTAATCCCATCTGTAAACACTAGGCAGTTTGCTAGCAGCTGCATTCGCATTTTTCATCACTGAAAAAGTGATCATTTCTTTCATTCTACCTTTACTGTCTGGTACTAAATAAGTTGTTTCCATGGATGGTGTTAGCAGCTGTCTGTATGAAGTTTGTATTCCACCTCGTTTTTGTGTGTTCATGTAACAAAAAAATGATAGAAGGAGGTAGATGAGAAACTGGTTGGATCTGAGAGTTGAAAAGGTAAATAAGATACAGTGAGATAACCCACACTGTAAGTAATGCTTTAGCTGCTCTGGTAGCTTTCTCTTGTAAATATGTTTTTTACTAAGAGTAAGCTTATTTCCATGTGTACAGTGCCTAGGTAAATACTGCAAAGCAGCTAATGTGCTGTTAATCTGTCTAACGCTTTTGGAAAATCAGGTTCAGGTAGCTGGTCTGAACATCTTCTGATAGCAGTACTGAGTCTTGAGAGTTCAGCCATTTTGGAAGGATATTGCAAAAGCGTTTTCATTGTCCTGTTACGCTTCAAGCAGAAACTACCTTTGGAGTAGGGCAGGGTTAGAAGAGGGAAAGAGGGACTATAAATTACATATTAACTACATAATTTGCTTAGATCTTCTCTGAAGGGGGGGGGGCGGGGACGGACCAGTTCCAAGAATAGTCCACTTAAAATCTTCAGAATGCTTGACTTCTAAATCTGTATCCTAACTTTACTTCTGTGAGCATCTCCACTTTATTCATTGTCCCAGATCAGAGATAACATTCTTTTCCTGGTAGAAACAATTCCGTAATAAGTCAATATGCGCTTCTGTGCTGCTAAACTTTTTGTGTTGAGAAATTTTATCCTTCAAAAGGGTTGCCAGGGCAATATGAAGGAGAGAACAACTTAGAGGTATAAAGCAGGCAAGCTTATATATGATAATAAACACACTGTGTGTGTGGTCTGGTCTGATTTTAAAACAAACAAACAAACAAATGTCTTTGAGAAAAGGCTTATTTTCAAATATTTAAATACAGTTTCCTCTTTTTACTGTTCACTCAAACAGTGACACTGTTCAGGGGGGCAGTGATTCACTTCTGTACATCCTTTTGTGTTCCTGAGTTCTGTAATTCCTGAATAAAATTTTGAAGCCTTTTAAAGTTGACTTTAAATTTAAACCAAATAGCTAAATCGGTTTTAAGCATGCTGCCATTGTATTAATCAATACCTTTAATGCATAAGTTGGTTACATTAATAGTTGAAAACACAGAATACACAAATTAAGAGTCTATTAACATCTTTGTTTTTAACACTGGAAATAAATCATGCAGTGGTCTACAGAAAGGTAGGTCTATTCTGTCCTTTTCGGGATATACAGATTGTGTTTTCAAGCTTGAGAAAACAGAAGTATTTCTAAATGTTTTCTTTCTACATCTGGTATTCACTAATATTTAGCGTACTTACATATATTAAACAGAGATTTATTTTATTTGTCTGGTCTTCTGCTCTGTCTTTGCCTTCCTTGTATTTTGCTTTGAATGCTGTGTATCTTTTCTTCGTGGATTTTGGTGTTCTCTTCTTGATTTGTTTTTGTGTATTACGTGAAGTTCTCATGGTTTAACCCCAGCCAGCAGCTAAGCACCACACAGCTGCTCACTCACTTCCTCCCCGACCCTGTGGGATGGGGGAGAGAATCGGGGAAAAAAAAGTAAAACTTATGGGTTGAGTTAAGAACAGTTTAATAGAACAGAAAAGGAGAAACTAATAATGATGATGGTAACACTAATAAAATGACAATAGTAATAATAAAAGGATTGGAGTATACAAAGGATGCACAATGCAATTGCTCACCACCTGCTGATGGACGCCCAGTTAGTCCTTGAGCAGTGATCTCCTCACCCCCACTCCCCCCAGTTTATATACTAGACGTGACATCACATGGTATGGAATACCCTGCTGGCCCCTTTGGGTCAGCTGCCCTGGCTGTGTTGCCTCCCAATTTCTTGTGCCCCTCCAGCCTTCTTGCTGGCAGGACATGAGAAGCTGAAAAATCCTTGACTTTAAACTAAACGTAGCAACAACTGAGAACATCAGTGTGTTATGAACATTCTTCTCATACCAAACTAAAAAATCTAGCACTATACCAGCTACTAGGAAGACAGTTAACTCTATCCCAGCTGAAATCAGGACAAAAGTGCAATAAATCTCTTGAACAGCAGCAAATAATCTGTTGTGTATGTGGTTTAGGGCAGGGAAATACATAGTGCTGCATATTTATTTTCAGCAGTAGGTGGTTTTTGGTGCATTTAATATCTTAAGTTGGTTTTAGAGATTGAGTTTTCCTTTATCTGTCAGTTAGAAAACAACACAAAAGCTTAACCCATCCATAAGTAGCAACATAAGGGTTTTTTGTGAATTTAGTGAAAACTATATTTCATCAGAAGTGCTTATAAGAGCTACTGAGAAGCACTGAATGGCTTATAACAGGTATGAGAAACAAGTAACAAGAAGTTAAAGTGCAGCTTTTGGGAGGCTTATCACAGTCTTTTGTGTTAATGCTTTTATATCTGGGGCTCAACAGAAATTCTAACTTGAAATTGTAGTTTTCATCAGTTACTCTAGCACACTCTGTACAGTTTGGGCAATTACGGCAATATAATGCTGTCAAGGTACCTAACTTTCAGGCAGATCTTTCTCTTAACAAAAAAAAAAAAAAAAAAAAAAAAGATTTCATGTAGATTAGAGGCTAAACCCACAGTGGGAGGCTTTTATTACTTAAGACAGGTGGAATAGTTGACATACCATTGCAGGGAACTCGAGGAAGCAGACTGAAAGAAATGTTTATTCTCTCTGGTGGAAAGTGGTTGCTGTACTCGTGTTTCAGACTTGTGTGGTCTATTTCTTGAATATACATTTGTACAACATAAGCAGACTCATGTAGATAATTAAATACTTCATGTAGATTGTTTCCTGAAATATCAAAGCATAGAAACAGTTAAAGAAAGATTTGAGTTGGATTGTGTAGCATGTAGGTGAAAGGATGGTGTCTCTTCTACTGAAGAAAATCGGAAGAAAAGCAAAGACTAAGTACTAGAGGGTAACTGAGGTGGTGACTTAGTTGGTGTTACTTGCGGCATGGAGAGAAGAAGGGGATCCTGAAAGAAAACAGGCTTGGTGTCCTGGGTTCAGCTGGTGTAGAGTTAATTTTCACAGGAACCTGGGAGGGCGCACAGCCGGGACAGCTGACCTGAACTAGCCAAGGAGCTATTCCATACCATGTGATGTCATGCTCAGTATATATAAATGGGGAGTGGGCTCTCGGCTTTCGGTGGGGAAAGTGCTGGAGCGTTGGGTTCCAGGTGGTGAGCAGTTGCACTGTCCATCGCTTGTTTTGTATATTCTTTTATTAGTACTGTTATTGTTGTAACTTCTCTTTTTGTGTTGTCCCAGTAAATTGTCCTTATCTCAACCCTCGAGGTTCTGGGTTTTTTGGGGTTTTTTTTGTTTTGTTTTGTTTTTTTTCCTCCTTTCTCATTCTCCTCCCCATCCCACCTGAGGGGGGTGGGAGGAGTGAATGAGTGGCTGTGTGGTCCTTTGTTACTGGCTGGGCTGAAACCATGATAGTCCTTTTTGGCACCCAACATAGGGCACGAAGGGTTGAGATAATGACAGGTCTGGCCAGAGTGTGTTAAAACAAATTTGTTGTATGCATTTCTTATATTAGTTAAATAGATGCTAGTCACAATGTTGGTTCATTTGTTCACATGGTGGTGTTGTGTAAGTTCTTATATGCTCTATGTATTGCCTGCAGTTACGCTTATCACCTCTGGTAGAGGGATCGGGATTATCATTTTGCTATACTGGGCAATGTCGACTTATGAAATGATTACATCACTGGTTCTGAGGTTAAGCTGGTATCTGTATGCAGCAGTGATATAATTTCCATACTTCGGGCACCTTCAATCGGAATTTATTGGTAATCACACCTAATCCATGGGGAAGTCGGGGGGGATAGTTCCCCCCGTCCGTTCACCTCCTTTTTCTCCTTCTGGCTAATTACAACAGCTTTTGAGAATTTTGAATATCCTTGGGATGTGCAAGCCAGCATGCTGTTAGTGCTATGTCTCCTGAATATGTTTCAGGCCTTGCTTAGGACTACTACAAAAAGGTTTTTTAACAATACCACTGAGAGATCTGCCCCAAAGCTGGATATTCATGGGTGGCACAGCATATGGGAGGATATGAGCAGGTATCTAGAGAACTTCTCACCTCCAGTGGCTTGGAAGTTCACTCCCGAACAACTACAGAACCCTCATGAAGTGGTAGAATATTTGAAAGGAAAATGCTGCGGCTATGCCAGAGACGCAGAACTTACTGCACTGTGCCGGGCCCTGGCCAGTATCTACCAAACACTGCTTGATATTAGGCAGCACCCTCAGGGGAAAGAGAGGGAAAACAGAGTGATGGGCACTGCGGCTACCCCAACCCTGGCAACGGGCACTGCAGCTAAACCAGAGAACCAACCTGTGCCAGTATCGGTTGCCCCTGTACAGAAGAAGAAGCACACAAAGAAATCAGTTTGCTTAGTGAGAGATGAAAGTAAACCAGGGTCATCGCCAGAACCGGAGGAAGAGGCAAAACCTGAAATAATCACCCGATCTCTATCCCTGAGTGAGTTGTGTGACATGCAGAAAGATTTTGGCTGCCACCCAGGTGAGCACATTGTTACCTGGCTGCTCCGATGCTGGGATAATGGGGCCAGTAGTGTGGAATTAGAGGGTAAGGAAGCCAAGCAGTTGCGATCCCTGTCTAGGGAAGGGCGCATTGACAAGGTGATTGGGAGAAAACCACAAGTCCTCAGCCTCTGGAGGCGACTTGTGTCAGGTGTGAAGGAAAGATACCCCTTAAAGCATGAAGTTACATGTCACCAAGGCAAGTGGACCACCATGGAGAGAGGTATCC